CAGTGGTCATTGGGTGAAAATAGGAAGTTAATCCCACACTGAAACTGGTTTAATGTTTAATGTAGGACACTATGTTTGACCTAGATCAACTCAACGTCATGTCAAGTTTTTATCAGTTTGATTTGCAAATTTGCCCTGTTTTTCAACATCAATCGCCCGCCGCTCTGTAAAAATGCTTTTATAAAGCGGAGAGTTCCGGTGCTTGATTCTGATTGGCTGAGCCGCGTTCGAAGCTGTTATAAATGACTCTACAAAGTAACACACACCTTTGTTTACGTTTGTGTGTTGCTCGGCAACCGCTTTGTAGCAACCACAACTGTTTCTGAGGAGCTACATTGTTTGGTGGAAGAATACTGTGTTTATTAATATCATTACACTTTATTTGCTCTGCTTTATTTTGTGAAACCTTACTACGTATATGGAATAACGTTTTATAAAAGCAATAACCCCCGTGAAGCTGTGGTTTACAGTGAATTTATAACAGCTCCGCTTCGCGTCGTACCTAACAACGCCTCTTAGCTGTTATAAATTCACTGTAAACCACGGCTTCATGGGGATTATTGCTTTATTTTGGAGTTGTAAATGAAACAAAGATTACTAAGAAAATACAAGTTCAGCCTTCCTACTGTACTTCAAAATTCCACGTTTAATTCAATGTGTTGCTTGCCGTTTCTTTGTAATTATTTGTGAAACTTGCTAGGAATTTCTGAGTGGAAATAGTTCCGAGGTAAATCTTTTTCAGTGTGGTGATAAATACAGTAATAGTTTCTTCTGTGCTTCTCTCCACCAGGTCTGTCTCGCGCTCGGCGCTCTGATTCTGGTGGCGGGGTTATCCGTGCTGCTGGTGGGCTACGCCACGCCGCCTCGACTCGAAGCCTTCGGAGAAGACGAGCTGCTGTTCGTGGACGGCCGCGCGGTGCGCTTCAACCGGGCCCTGGACGCCTGTAAGCTGGCCGGGGCCGTGCTGTTCTGCGTGGGTGGCAGCGGGATGGCGGTGGGGCTGCTGCTGGCCGCCTGCTCTCAGGGCAGCTCCAAGGAAGAGCTCCGTCTGCAGCAGCGCTTCAAAGAGCGCCTCGCCGAGATCCAGGCCTCCGTTCAGCCCGTCACCCGCGCTCCCACCCCGGGAGAGGCCAAGGTTCCCGTCACGCTCTCCAAAGTGCAGAGCGTCCAGCCCGGAGCGGAAACCTGACCTCTTAAGCATCCCACGCTTCCGTGCAAAACAAAACAACAGTTCCTGGAACCGTAGAGATAGATAACACTGCACTGGCGCATATAATTCGTCTATATTGAGCAAGAGCACCGAGAGTATTTATGGTGATTAGCGTAAGCGTACCTTGTCTATCATCACTAGTGCTTCTGAATAAAGACATACAGCACAAATATACTCGCGCGCTACGGCTAGGAATCAGAACAACTTTAGGCTGCTGATATTCTTCAGAGGCGCCAAAGCATGTGCGTATTAATACCGAATAAGCAAGAATAGTTTCTCTATTACAATGACCCCAAACACACCCCTCACTGTAATCGCAGTTCCCATCGTGATACATGAGAGAAATCACTCGGTAAATCTCATAAACTAGCAGAACGGAGGCCTTACTAACGCTGTCAGCTACAATGATTTGTCATCGCTCATTCAGAAAGCGTCACGGCAGTTAAATTTTTCTCCGAATCTCTCCTAGCGAAAGCTTCGTGCTCTATTGCTACAGTCAGTCAATAGTTAGTCGACAGAACGCAATGTGTTCCAAGCCACAATACGTGCATCCATTCTGCTCAAACACATCATCGCCTGCGATATCAAGAGTGAAAATAGATTACAGTTAAGATGCGCCTGTGGGATTATGTCATGTCCTCTCTTTGTGTTGCACATCAGTCTTGCTCCATCATTAGAGCTTTCCGTACGCTAGTGTTCTGCTGGAGATTTCTTTCTGTCGGCTTTTCTTGTTTCGTGTTTCTCTTTGGCTTCATGGCAGAGTCACTGCTGTGCTTTTGTTCTCTGTAACAATTATTTTGCATAGGTATTTGCATCTTATTATTGTTATATTTTTTCTTTGATTAGCGCAAATGTTGCATGATGACAATTCAGTGAAACTTTGTAAACTGCTTTCAAGAAGGTTGATAAAGAATGAAAAACCGTCGCCGTTGCTTCTTAGTGTAATATTTTGTGTTATTTATTGATTATGAATTATCGTTGAACATACTGCATATGCATTCAGTTGTTTGAAAACGCAGAGGCTTTCTAATGAACTTAGGATAATCGAAACTCTCAGACAGGCCTAAATGAAGTCTAAAAATGTTACATTTATAATATCAGCTGCTTCGAGAATTGATTCTTCTTGTTTAAACTGACATATATGGATGTGTTTTCAGAGGTGTGTTGATCACAAACGCTGGTAATCGTCTCAAACTGTCAAAGCTTCTAGTTTGGTCGGCTCTTGGGAAGGAGACAGAAGGTATCAGAGCTGTTCTTACTCTTGGAACATGTCTATTTTTCAGCAAACAGAATAAAAATTACTGTTTGTTACCGTCTTTGTCTGTCAGTGGCTATTTCTTCCACTTGTTCACTTTAAATTTGATCATTTAAAAGCTATCAATTAATCACAGCACATCAAAACAGATCCCAAAAGCAAACAAAAAACAGTAATTTACACTCACGGTGTGCTGTAATACTATCAAAAAAATCATGATCCTAACCTTTATCTCTCTAGCAAAAACTCCGCTGGCCACACATTGATTCATATATTTTGTATGAATCATAAAAATATTGTCATCCTGGACACCGTGAGCCCAGAGACTAGTGAAGATCGTGAGTTTTTAAATGATTAGCTTTAAGTAAAAAGTGCTCATAAAAGGCTGTCGTGATTTTATTCTCTCTTGAAATCAAGTAGAGGCTTGGAGCTGGAAACAGTATTCATTAGGTGATGATAACAAGGTTCAGTCACATTAGTGAAAACCAACCGTCTTTCTGTTGATTAACTCTGTGAATTTGTGCGTCCAACTTGAACCTTATGCAAAATATGCATGTGGTAATATTTCTCTCTCACAGGACATTGGTGATTGCATGAATTCCTATAGATGCAGTCACTTTAGAGAAATGTTCTGCTAAATTTTCTGGGCAAATAAGGTCCTTTCTCCATTGTCAAGATGTTGCGACTCACAGCTCACACAGAAGTCACTCTCAAGCCAAGAAGATTTCTATTAGATTTCTAACAGTTTGAATCTGATGTGAAATTTGCATGAAGAACCTTCAGTGCACAAGCAGCATTACAGATTGTGCAGAATTTTGTTGAAATGACTGGATTTTGCTGAACAGCAGTAAATGTGACGTGCTTTAAGTGTAGTTCAAAAATGATGGCACTTCGAAAAGATTGAGAATATTATACCTAAATATTAAAATAGTGAAAATACCATATTCTCACTCTCATACAGAAGCATCACCAGATTACCTACCAGCTGTGTGTGTGTGTGTGTGTGAGTGTGTGTGTGAGTGTGTTAGGGTTAGTGTGTGTGTGAGTGTGTGTGTGTGTGAGTGTGTGTATGTGAGTGTGTGTGTGTGGGTGTGTGTGTGTGTG